CCCTCCCTCCCTCCCTCTCCTTTCTGTCTCTTCTTTTCATAGCCAGGTGTCTTGGAAACTCTTGTCTTTACCATCCACTTGCTATCCCAGTTCATCTGCTCTCAAGCCACCACTGCCTTATGGTGGTGATCTACAGATCATTCAGTGTTTGACCTCTATTATACCAACTTACCCCCATTCTAGAAATCGGATCGGCTCCAGCCCTCTATTTCTTTTCCTCCCTCTGCATCTTATCAGTGGTGTTTAAAGTTCCTCTTCCACAATCCCTTCCTAGGCTGTGTGTTCCTAATCAATGTCATTTAACTTGCTTGCTCAACTGATATACATACATGATGAGGGAACACTGACATTGAGCTATTTGTGGAAATCTCCCTAATAATCTACAGTTGTGCCACTCCTCTAGATGGACTGAAGGTGGGCATTTCATAAGACCCACCTCACATTTCCTTGTTCCCTAACTCCCCCCCTCTCTCTCCACCCCCCCCCAATCTCGGGAAATGAAAGTGTTTTGGCCTCCAATACGTTTCAGTCTTTTCCTTCTCCACCCTTTGACTCCGTAATTTTTTTTTGTGCTCTCATGTATTCCCACCTAGAGTATGGCCAAAGTTTTTGAGTTGGTCTCCTTTCTCTGATACGCATCTCTTTGATTTTTTTTAATCTAATGTAATCCACTTAACCAGAGAAATAAACCTGTAGCACCCTCCATAACAGCCCTAAGGTGGCCACCCTATAATTTGTAAGCTTAAACTCCTCATCTCAGCAGGGCTCACACAGTGACTTAGCCTCGCTGTCGTTCTACCTCATCTCTTTTCTTTTTTATTTCATTAATTTTTACAAAAACTTTATTGAGAATTTCATATGTGCATATAAGGTGTTTGGATCAAATCCATACCCACTCCCTCCCCTCCAACATTCCCTCCTCTGAAGAGGTAACCCTAAAATCTTTTAACGATTAGATACAAGCTCCCAAATACTTTTGACATTTTTGGCCTTTGGAACAGAGTATGTTGCTAACAGGCCCAAGGACATTTTGACTTTTAGCCAAGAAACTGGCTACATTTCTTTGGGGTCTTTTTACCCTAACTGCCTATTGAATTCTTACCTCCTATTCTTATCACACCATCCTCTGAAGGGGTTACCCAAATTACCAATAGGGAATAGGACACAGACCACTCTGGCTTCTTCCATGCTGAACAGGGACACGGGGTGAGGCAATTGGAGTACCCCTTCAGTGGGTCTATCTAAAAGACTCCCACATTGCATAACTCTTGTCTCTAAGGGAAGAAGAAAGTCCTTGAATCATGAATAGGAGATGTGAAGGAGAAGTAAAGGCAAGAGTAATTAGCATTACAGGTTCCAGGCAGGGAGCTAGAAAAAAGTCAGAACAGAGCTATTTTCAAATATTCATATGAGGGTCCACTGGAGTTTCTTGACAAGGGCTTCCAAAAGCATCCCTCTATTGGCTTCTTCCTCAGTTTTCTTTTGTCTTCCAAGGCTGGACTAGTTGGCTGGGAAGAGTGGCTGGATACTTAGGTGAGGGTCCAGCGACCCTGCCTGGCACTACTTTAATGAATGAGCACAACTGGCAGCAAGCCAAATTGTGATTATGTTAAGCAATCAGGCTCAGCCAAAGTCATGATGATGGTAGTTATTTCATGCAGAAGGGACTGCTGTATAGAATCTTCTTATTAAAGGGACCTGGAATTTAAAAGGATTTGGTGCTAGGAGCCACAGATGAGAAAGAACATATGTCATTTGTTTTTCTGAGTCTGTGTTACTTCACTTAGTATAACAGTTTCTAGAGCCA